CCTTCGCTTTCGGCCAGCGGGAGCCTTTTGGGAGGATGGGAACCTCTAGTTGGCACGGTTTTGACGAGCTGCCGTTATGGTCGGCAAAATTTTATTCTCCTGGTCAGTAAAAAGAAAGGTTCTGGGGAAAGCGTAAAATTAGGTAATTTTATTTTCGCGAGAGAGGGACAGAGAGAGAGAGAGAGAGAGAGAGAGAGAGAGAGAGAGAGAGAGAGAGGGGGGGGGGGGGTTAGACATAGGTAGATAGAAAGAGAGATAGAGAAATAGGGAGCGAGAGTAACACGTTGGAGAGAGAAAGAAATAGAAAGGGAGAGGGACACATTGCAGAGAGATGAGAGAGATAGAAAGTTAGGGACACGGGTATAGAGAGAGGGACAGAGATAAGGAGAGACAGAGAGAGGGAGAGAGAGCGAGAGAGAGAGAGAGAGAGAAGAGGTAAAAAAGAGTCACTGGGAGGGTGGAGGGGGCTGCGCGTGGGAGAAAACACATTAATTTCCTATACATTCGCTAATATTATGATTTAGCACTGGTATGTAAATATCTTTGACACTCATATGGCATCAACCTCATTATCCTCTTAACCATTGAAGACAGCAAAAAGACAGAAAAGGTGGAGACTTGTAAGATTTTCAAAATATACTATCCCTTTTTACCACCACCACCATCATCATCATTCAAATCTTAAAAATAATAATAATAATAATGATAATAATAATAATAATAATAATAATAATAATAATAATAATAATAATAATAATAATAATAATAATAATAATAATAATAATAATAATAATAATCCAACATGGTCGGTTGCTGTTTTCACTGTATGATTGTTGTGCTAGACTATCCGTGTGTATCTAACTTATTATGAGGCATCACAATGATGATGATGATGATGATGATGATGATGATGATGATGATGATGATGATGATGATGATGATGATGATGATGATGATAGTAACGAGTGCGACTAAAAATGACACGTCATTATTTTTTTATTTTACTATCTTACCTATTGTAAAGAAACCCTTGTCTAACAAAAAGTCAAACAAATAATAATCACCATCAGTTGTTTCTGATGAAGCCTTCGGGGCTTTGGGTCTCTCTCTCTCTCTCTCTCTCTCTCTCTCTCTCTCTCTCTCTCTCTCTCTCTCTCTCTCTCTCTCTCTCTCTCTCTCTCTCTCTCTCTCTCTCTCTCTCTCTGCTTCGGGTTGGGCCAATATTTCTTTTTAAGGGCTTCGAGCATTGGGCTGGCTAGCAGCAAATGGTTCCCTGTTTGAACGCCGGTTCTGCACTGATGCTGCTCTGAATTTCCGATCTTGAAGTTCGTGTCAAGATTCCGATCTTGAACTTCGTATCAAGATGATGATGATGATAATGATAACAATAACATTAACAATTGTAATGAGAATAGTCATTTCAGTTGTTGTTGTTGTTGTTGTTTTTGTTGTTGTTGTTTTAGTTCTTGTTCTTGTCAACAAATCAAGTAAAAGAGCAAATTTTGCCCCAGTCCTCAACATCTTCGTTTTAAGATAGCGACATTCCGTACGATTTCAGTATTCCCAAGAAGAGGTGTGTCTACCGGGATAGTGATGATGCCTCAGAATGCTTATCTCAGGAAATAGGCCAAGGTGGCGCTGCTAGTCTGGCTGATCAGGACAACATGGCGGACGAAGCCAGTAATTTGTTCAAGGTACCAGGTGAGTCTAAAAGTTTGGCTTTTGTTTTCTTTTGTTTTGTTTTGAAACATTTTCTTAGCAGTGTTGAGTTTGTTTTGATTGGATTTTTGTCCCTGACGGTTCCAGGACCGACGTCTGTGTTGTAGCGGTTAAGCATTTCTCTGTAGAAGGCAGAAGACTTGAGTTCGATTCCCGTGTGTGTGTGTGGGGGGGGGGGGGTTTCCA